TCGAAGCCGGTGTGAGTGAATGAACAGACCAGGGGATGCTCTGCCGCCTCTTCATTCATCTGAAAATACGCTCTCAAAGGCCTCACCGAACTCCTCTGCAACCTGTGCACAGCTTGTGGAAATAATGCGAGTAGCTTCTAGGAATGGACTGAAATTCTGTAATTTGAGGCTGATCAAATAACAATAGCAGCATCAGTAGCAGAGAAAAGGAGGGAAGGGGTAAACAGCCTGGCAATGATTGATTGCTCCTTTGCGCCCACTTCGAATCACCCCCTGAGGCTTGACTGGTTGTAGCCAAGCGAGCAGGACAAATGGAGCATGATGTGCTTCAGATCCGATCAAGGAGAGCCGTAGGCGACAATGCACGGCAGAAGAGACTGTATAATGAGTACACACCAGTAAGAATCGCTGCTGCAGACTTCAGGGCTTGCGATAACACTCGATTGGAGCGTGTGTTGGGCAGCTGTCGTTTGGACTTTCAAGGTGGTCGTCACACGCATATACGCATATGTATCCTGTAAGTTGCACAACACGGTTGATCAATGTGCACATGTGCCACGAGCAAGCCAACACAAGGTTGATGGGTTGGAGACGATGAATGGGCTGTGAGAGTAACACGGTCCACCAAGTGGCCACGCTTCAAGATGTTGAGGTAATGTGTTGATATTGTTGGCAATTGACACTCCACGATGATGGAGACGGAGCACGATCGATGTGCTGAGGCTATCCAATGGCTAGCTGATCGATCAGCATGGCCTGAGCGCAGTCGATTCTTAGAGTCAGCTGGGCAAAATACATGCTATCGGTGCCACTAAATGCACTTCGTCCAGCCAGGTTCATGTTATAAGAGGTACTCGTAGGTACGCGCAAGTGCCTCTGGCGGACAATTCATGGCAACTCGTAAAGTGAAGCCCAATCGCATATCCCCTGTTGAATGCTCATTTCCACATCTCTCAGCTTGCCGCTGGGCTGTCACCATTGGTGTGATCAGATGGCATAGTGCAGGTAGCGCTCGGAGAGGAGGTCCGAACGGAGAGCAAGACCAAAAAGCCACTCTTCTAAATCGAGTAAAGCAGTCTGCGGCCAAGGAAGCTGTAGCGCGTCGCCATCTGTCACGAATGGGTTGATGAGCGTTGCGATGTGGGTTGTCTTTACGGAGACAAGTGACGAGAGACTCTCAACACCAAGATGAGAACCAACCAGGAGCGGACAACCTGGCGTGATCAAGATCCACAATAAAGAGGCATCTGATCTAGGCTAGTAGTATCTCAGCGAGATTGGGTCGACGGGCCATCTCGCCATCTTGCCAGGCCGCGATTGCAACGGGGTGCCACCCGCACGCAGCTATCGTAGCGCCGTTGCTGCTTGGGTGTCGGTAAGGGGCTTCGAGACCTGGAGCAGCTAGTGAGTGGCTGCCACTGAGTGATTCCGGACAGAGTAGATTTTCGTAGGCTAGTTCGAGTCGTAATCGTCGGCGTAGTAATACCTAGTCTTGCCAAGACACATTAGGAGTCTACAGGATGTCTAGAATGACTCTTCAGGTATGTCATCAGAGTTGGAGGCTGCCGAAGGAAGAGAGGGTCTATTGTGCCAACTGATGGGGCGGTGGTTGGACGACACTCGTCGCCCTGGTAAAACAACCAACGTTCTACGGAGTGGTTTGCCATGAGGTAGGTCTTGTCATACCCTCGTACTTCGTATCTGTTCACTGGGTTGAGCCAAGCAAGATAATCATCTCCGTCACAACCCTGGGGCAACAGCCGAAGCCTCAAGCAGACCGCTGACCGAGATGCCCTTTCGATGCTTGCAAGTCTTAAGAGAGCTCGTCCAGCTGCGGCCGTCGCTAAGCTCAGGGTGACGGCCCACCAATTGTAGATGCGCTGAAGAGCAACGACGCACGGTAACCAAAGACTCTAGCCGAGGGGGCCAGATTTACCGCTCTGGACGATACTCCGTCCATGGCGCCAAGGTTCCTGGTAGGCGAATGCCACTAACAACACTGGTTGAAGGAAAACGCGGTTGCTGAGAGCGGCACACCAGCATACGCTAACTGGGGGCGAAAATCAGAATAAAATAACAGACAGTGCATCGAGTACGGAGCGGACAGTCCAACGTCGCATCGGCTGGGAAAATTCTTCTCTAGACCATCTAGTCTCTGAACCAAGACTGATCTGGTACAGTCCTATGACGAATCGCCAAGCTGCTGGAATGAAACTGCTTTGATGGAGGACGGAGAAGTTGTATGCAAGAGAGCTGCATTGCTGCTGAGTTGCGGCGCGAGGAGGCCCGATTCTGGGGACTGCAAATCTGGCATCTCCCATGTCCCAAAGTGACCAGAAGTGCATCAGCGGTCATGACTGCAGCAGGATGACGAGCAACTCACGACGGTTCTGGTCTGTTTGAGATGCAGTTGGCCCCTTCAGACCTGCTGCAGAGGGAGTGGCGAATGCGAAGACTACTACAAATGGTCAGCTGTGCTCCTGCATGAAGATGTAATGCACGATCCTCCCCGTCAGCTCTTTGGTCTGTCGAGATCTCGCAACTCTTGGGCGATTGGATTCCACACAGCCCTCCTATTTGATGATAATTCGACTGCTGGAATTTGCAACGGTTCGACGGGGCATTGCTGGTGCCTACCTAAGCAGTGGTTTAGCACGTCTAGTGAAGCTGACGATGCCGACAGTCCAGCGTCATCCCGTGGCGAGGGTCTCGACCCTCTTAGGCTCGTGATCGCAGATGTGATCGTACCGATGAGGCAGGCACATCAAATCTTACCCGTGCCGTACGATATGGAGCAGCAAGGTACCAAGAGCCAAGGTAATACCGCCTTAGAACTCCGTACTCGTACAGTAAGCCGTTGCCTGTACGGAGTACAGTGCTGGGAACAGCCCAAGTACCCTGTGGGTGCTAGCACGATGACTACGGCCATTAAGAACCCGGCCGTATCGAACCCAGGGCTTGTCACCATCATGGTGGATCGACAAGTGCCTAACGCGAGCTCATGCACGCTTACCGTCCCTTTCCTCTCCTGGGAGAGAAGAGGCGGAGCCAGAAGAGAGAAGAGAGAGAGGGAGAGGGAGAGTGGAAGAGAGAGTAATAGCAGTCAACTCACCTGGCGGGCGAACACTGTAAAGTGATGCTCTCCTGGTTGATGAAGGCATCGTCTGGTGCGTATTTCTATTGTGCAAAGAGTACCGTGTGTCTCCTGTAGACACACGTGGCGCCATGTGTCTGCGGTGAGGCCGTGCATGAAAGGATGCTGAATGGGGATGGGCAAGTGCGCTCCCCAGACTGGCTTAGGCTAGAGCCGTTGGCTCCTTCCCCGTTATTGTATCCTTACGAAATCTCTGCTGATCTCGTCCGTGAAGCGGGCCAAAACCCCTGGCGTCTCCTTCCGTTTTTTCTCCCGCTTTATCTAATATGCCTACCAAGGTCTACGAGTACCTCGCTGTGAGTACGAGCAGGTACCGTACGAGTAGGATCAGGCTTTCGTAGTCTATACCCGCACCAGCCCGGCCTTGCAGTTCTGTTGGCAGGTACCAGGTACTGCGGCTGTAAGTAGCGCGCTTCGCAAGGCAATCGCCGCTGGCCATGAAACTTCGTACGGCAGCAGTTCGCCATTTATTCTGCCATGATTCATCCTCTCATCTCATCTCATCTCCTTGGTGCTCCATCTTTGTTATGCATCATCTCTCTCCGCGCTGCTAGTAATGCTAGTACGGGTACGGGAAGTGTCCAGGCCATCCTCATCAAGACGCGAGCACTTTGCCGCTGCAGCGTGCTGGAGTGATGGAGACGAAGACGAGGACGAGGACGAGGACGAAGATGCTGGCGATTGAAATACAGGTACGTAAGTGAATGGAAACGCCCGACTCCATCAGCTGGGCTGTCAGTGTCAGTCGACTTTTTCTCAGCTCCGCAGCGCCTAGGCAAATAAGCAGCATTCTTCGCCGCGAACGCTCCATATCGTGGCGTCAACAAGGAAGGGCGCAAATCGAGATCAAAAACGGAGCACACCCTACCGACCTGTACATGTACGCGCATGCTGCGACCGCTGGCCGGCGACCAAGCTCCGTATCGTACATGGTTAGTCGTACGCACACGCCTCTCTACGCAGAAACATGGCTTTGGGTCCATCTCAGCCGCCCCTGTCACTGCTTCAGCATTCCAGCAGCAGAGGAGTGCCGCTAAGGAAGGGGAGGGGCCCCACTGCGTCGTCGTTTTCCATGGTCTTCCAACCTCACTCCCTCCCGCCCTTTTTCCATCATCTTCACCCCTCTCCCGGCGCTAGACGGGGCAAGGTTCGAATTTCGAATCTTAGGCTCACACCACGCCCAGAACCACGTTATGACCGCCCGCCCAAACTCGCTAGCTCGGACGCAAAGGCAAGTGCAATCCAGTACCGCGGATTTGCTGGGCAGGGTCCCACCCGCACTCATCTCAATCTCTTGTTCTTTTGGGGCCGGGCCAAGGGCCTCGTTAGGGCAGCCTCCCATCTTAACAAGACTGACTTCGGACCCCTGCCCATTGGCCAAGCCGCTCGAGGTGTACGGAGCAGACTCCGTACTGGCCAGGCTTTGGGGTGAGCCATCACCCAACTTTGGACGCCACCACGAGTTTAGATCTCTTTTCCTGGGACCCCGGTCATGCTTTGGGAGACGACAGGGCTTGGCCAACCTGGCGACAGGCCTTGATTAGCATCACCATTTATAGCCTTGTCCTCGCTTCCCTCTCTTGCCCTTTTCTCTATTTAAATTCCAACTTATCTCTTCTGGCCCGGCCCCCACGTCTAGGCCCGGTCTGCTTATACTACCTACCGCCTGTACATACATATGCGTGTCTGCTGCGATCATCCTTGGCCCCGTTTGCAAGTCGTCAGCCCAGCCGTCACTCCACCGCACACGCCGAACTCGACCCAGCGCTTTGTGCCCCTAGCATTCGTGCTAAGTCAGATGTATCGACGACCCTGAGCGCCAGATCTTTTACTTGCCACACGCGCTATGGAAGCGGGTGACGTTGGAACCCGACAGAGGTGCGTTCTTACTCGTGCATTCCTCCATGCCTAGCCGCTCCATCGTACGCCCCCCCTCTAAATCGGCGGAATTATTAACTCACATCGTCCCCCTCTCCCCAGCAGTGGTCTTTCTTCTACTCCTACGCGACTTGAGCATCAACTTGCAACATCTCCCCATTCTCACCAACAACACCGAGAAGCCGTCGACCGACGGTATCTGGACCAGCCTGTCATGGCAGCAGCCTCAGTTCTCGCCCCTAGCGCCCATTACCCGCCTCAGCCATATCCTTCCAACTACTCTCACCCACCTTCATCCGGGCCAAGCGTCGCCAACATGATCTCCTCGGAGCCTCGACGACCCTCTCCCGACAATGAGTCCTCGACTCGCCAGTCACTACCATCAATTTCAGAAGTCATTTCTGGTGCACGGCCTGGACAGTACCCCCCGCCTGCGCATACTCTGCAGCCTGGCTCAAGCCTGCCCTCACCATTTGCTCCGTCTGCTCGACAGTACCCCGAAGCCGACAAGCACTCATCTCAGCCTCTGCACTCTGTTGCCTTTCCTCCTCGACAGGAAAGCCACAGTGCATACTCAGATTCACCGAGACCGCCCTTTAACACTGGCAGACCCGGTCTTCCCCCCGTGTCTGATCGCCGGCCTACTCCCCCGACGAAGCATGATGGCCACCCCCTTCCTCATCACCTAGCCGAGCCGCCAAAGCCATCTGATCACCGCTCACTGAATGGAGTGTATTCCCAACCCCCGCCGCCGCCGACTTCCGTCCCGTATCAGCCGGCACAGCTTCCACCTGGGCAACAGCCGCTCCCTCCTTACCAGGTTTCACCCCGAGGCCATGCGGCTTCGCATCTGCCTGGGCAATACGATTCTCGGCCGGCGCCTACACATGCTGAAGAGGCCGAGTATGCTGCTAGGGCTCGGTACGATAACGGCACCTCGCGATCGTTTGAGAGCTGGAGTTACCAGGAAGCTCTGAGCCGAGTAAGTGATGACGTGAAGCTGACAGACACAAAAGGGTGTGCGCTAAACGAGTATGTAGATTGGAACCTGCTCGCGAACCATTTTCAATTTCGCAGAGGCCTACGGCCGAATTGCCCAAGAGCAGCACGGATCTCAACCAATTCCCGAGCGCCTCCCGACTGAGCGGGAAGTGAGCGACATGCTCTCCAACGTCGAGTACCTCAAGCGTTCTCTCGAGCAATGCAGAGAGGTAATTGTAGCCTCTCTACAGAGCGAGAGGGCTCGCGAAGGTGCCAAACCACCAAAGGGCCCTTACGAGGAAGACCAAGATGTCCCCATGTATGGGGACTCGATCAAGCCACCATATGGCATGACAGAAGTCAAAAAGCGACGAGGCGTAAGCTTGCCATACTCCTAGAGCCAATCTCGTATGAATGAGCCCCGCTAATAGAGCAACAGCGCGCTGCCCCTCCTGGACGATGCCACAGCTGCAATCGTATCGACACTCCGGAATGGAGACGGGGTCCTGATGGTGCCAGGACTTTATGCAATGCCTGTGGTCTCCATTACGCCAAGCTGGAGCGCAAACGCCAGCTGGAAGCAAGATCACTACGTCCCAAGCCCGAGGAGCGAAGTTAGAGCGTGGCCAACCCGACCCTCACCACCCTACTTTACACTCTTCAAACTCCCTAGTCCTTTGCATGATGTTTATTGATTTTTCTGGGCACGGAGCTTAACGGGCGCGGAGCATATTGATGACGCAAAGAAATATTCAACATTCCTTTTTTTTTCTGAAAGGGAAAAAATAACTTGCAGAACACAATACCCATTTTTCTAGCCGAGGGGCCTGCACTGATGGTTTTTACTGTACATGTGTCTTTGATTGCGGGGATTACTTTTCTTTTCTTCTTTTCCTATTTTTGTTTCATTGGATTTGGGCGGCAAATCATCATGGCATTGCAGGCGTTCAATATATATATATATACTTCAGGGTCTGGGCAACATTCACCTGCCATGGGAACAATGATGCCAAGCTACTTTGGGATTTTAGACAAAATAGGTTTTATTGTATCTGCTATTCTTGCCTGCCCTGGCAGAGGCAGATTAAAGAAAGAAATTTGCAACATGATCAATGGTGATGAATGCAGTGAACCCGGGGGGGAGTACAAGATGCGACATGCCTACCTTAGTAGTTTGTTCCCTTTTTTTTCAATTGTAGGCCGCGCATGCATGAGATGTCTGTGCGCGTGATGCATTCAAACCGTCGCTTCAAGTTCTGTGCAAGCCTGTTTTCTTTTCTTTGCTTTTTTTTTTTCCAGTTTTTTTTCCAGTTTTCGTTGCTCCCTCAAATTGGTGCGTCATAGACTGGCTACAGCGGTTGAGGTAATACAGCGCTGATTGGCTCATCTGACTTTTACTAATAGGATCGGGGAAGGGATAAGATCTTGGGGGAGGGAGATCAAGTGACGCTGTGTTTCGGGTAGAAGAGGGTGAGATTAAGTTGTAGCACTCGGTTCAATTTAGGGTCGATACCGCGGCTAGTGCTGATGGGCGAACGAGGCTGGTTGATGCGCTTCCTCTTTCGATGATCCCGCCTGAGACGAGGATGAGAAGTACGTAAGCTTGGGGGGATGAGAGAAGAAGTTGGCTTTTTCTTGCTGTTTCCTCCTATCTTGTTTCTTGGATTGTGCTGTTGTCTTTTTTAATCTTTTAGGTTTTGTTTTATTTTTATTCTTTTCTTCTGGGGCACATGGCTTCTAGCGCCGGTTTCTTTTTTTGGTCTTTTTTCTTTTTTTTTGCTTTTTTGATGGCGGGTACGGAGTAAGGTCTCTAGAGAGAGATGCGTGCGTTGAACCAACAACCTCCCTTTCTGTATGGCGTGACTTCAGCTCCACGGCTTGCTTTTAAGCGGAGATTTATGTATGTTCCCTTGTTTTCTTTTTTTCTTGGCACTTTTCTTTCCTTTCTTTTTTTTTCTCTCTTTGCTTTTGGCGTGCTTTCTGGAAATCAGTAGTATCAGGCCATGGCGGTTTTACGTTGCGGCGAGACAACTAGCTTACATCTACGGTATGGAGTGCCAATAAAAGAGAAAACAAGCCGTTAACCCAAGAAAGATGAACGGCATCAATAGTAGTAGCGAGGCTTACCGTACACGTACATGCACTTCTCCTCCCTCGCTTGCACGAATTGTCACAAAATCCTTCAACCGCTTGCTCTCATGCAGGTGATGGTTTCTCTACGGCCATGTGCGGCTTTTGAAATAAGAGAGAGAGGCCTAGGTCACACATACCGTTGGTGCTAGTAACAGCATGAACCCACGGACGGGCTGAGAACTGACGGCGGACGGATCGGCAGACCGGGTAGCTGCAGCGACGGATATGCATGGCCTTACGGAATTGGAAGATGGATGATGGACAAGGAGAGGGGGGGTTACAAGAGGGCAGAGGCCTATCATCAACCATCGAGCTGCTGTTAGTCGCGGGCGGGCGCGCGCAGAAAGCAGAGAGAGAGGGAGAGATGCTTGGTGTTGCATGTGTCTCCCCCCCTCTCTTTCTCTCTAGATTGCTGACTCCTCCTGGAGTTTCTCTCTTCTCATTGGCGTTTTTTTGATTGGAAGCCGGTGGCCATCCCTGCCACGGCATCGTTTGTTGATTCGACTTACACCACATCATCTCATCTCGATCAAGACCCGTCTAGAACGCACCCAACACAAGGCCCGAGCTGGGCAACAGTGCTACTGCGTGCCAGCAGTCGGTTCATTTGTCAGGGCCGTGCCGTGGCCTCGGACTGTCCGAAGCGAAGAGTTGTTGGCGGTGATTTTTTCTTCTTCTTCTTCTTGCCATGTGCGCCGCGTATACTCTCCGTTACCAAGCCCGGGTTTCGAAAAAGAGGGACGGAAGCCAACAGCTAGTGAGGGTTTCCCTTCATGCACACAAAGTACACGTACTAGAGCACAGAGCAGGGACTGCCGCTTTCTTTGCTGGCAACCATCACTCCCCAAGAACGCACGGGAGGTGGACGAAGCCACGACATGGGCCATTCTTAGTGAGACATGATACAAGGAGACGATGGAAACCGCTCAACAGCTTTTGGTGCTAGTAGGAAGGACTGTGGACGCTGCTCCTCGTACGATTATACTCTGGCGCCAATCCCCATGCGTTGGCATTTGCTCACAGCCGCGTTGGAGGCGAAGGACTCGTCACATTTACTCGTCACATCTCAATCAAGAGAGAGAGAGAAAAGCCACGGGCCGGGAGGTGGTCCGGCAAACATGCAAGGGAGAGATGGGCGAGATAGGCCATGGATCATGGATTGAGGAGGGGGGGGGTTGCAGTGGCCAGTGAGCTGGAAGCAGCCGAGATGGAGGAAACAAGACCGGTTGCTCCATGCGCCGCCGCACGGAGTGCATGCATGAAACAGGGACAAGAACGAACCAACGAGTTCGACCGTTGTCTGGCAACGTCCCTGGGGTCTCTGGCGAAAGTCGTACGAGGCTGGAGAGAGGGGGGGGGCGCGGAAAGATCGGACAGGCGGGGAGCCTGCTGGACTTCATCGGACACAAGACGCGGAATCTTGACTCTTGTGTTGCTTTTTCTGGGTTTCCTTTGTGGCACGGCTTTGCTCGTGCTCTGTGCTCTTGTGCTCGTGCGTTTTTGGCTTCCACAAGAGGCTTATTGAACCAAGAAACGTGTCACGGCCACCACAGACTTCTAAACAGGCGTTGTGGCACGAACGGCCGTGGGACATGGGGCGTTGAGTATGAGCAGGGGGGGGGCAAGGGCATGGGAGTTGGATATAGATTGAGCTTGTATGTGAGTGACGAGACCTTTGGGCAGCTTGTGATACGGGCTGCATTGGATAGGAGAGGGTTGAGTCAGTCAGCTCGGTTGGAGCATCTCGTCACGATTCAAGGTCTACAACACAGTACTTTGCACCGTCACGAACAATACAAGCTAAAAAAGACCACGGCAGTTCGTAGAATCCTTTTCTCGGTAGCACTTGGTGGGTGCATTATCCATGCTTCGAGGCTAGCTGCCGTTGGTTTTTAAAAAACAGCCCGTTTGAGCGGCAAGGGGGAAGAGAGAGAGAGAGAGAAGCTTGCCGGGCTGTGGCGTCAAGCCGGGCGTGGACCTTTGGAAGCACAAGAAGCATGGCAATGCCACGAGCTATTCCCTGCCTCATAATTTCTTTTTCTTCTTCTTTTTTTTTTCTGTGTGTGTATATACTGGGGAGGGGTCTTGTTTTCTCATTCTCGCAGTAAAAAGAAAATAAAAAGCAATTCCGTTTCTGGTATGCAGTGCGCGAGTACCGGTGTGGTTTTTTTTTTTTTTTTTTTTTTTTTCGCAAACCGAGCACAACACGGATATCCCTGTCTTGGTGGCTTTTTGTGGCGCGCCGGAATACATGTACATGTACTCGTAGCTGGGATGATGAGGATGAAAGCTGCGAATATCGCCTTGTGTATGTACTTGTATCCATTCGGAGTAAAGCGAGTAAACAAAGCACCAAGATGCGTGTCCGTCCAGAAGCAGACAAAGAGCATGCATTGCCATGCCTACACCCGAAGCTGTGCTGTACCTACGAGTACACGTATATTCTTGCCTCGTCGGCAATGATCCAGCCAACCAGGCCCCCCTGTCCCTGGTCTCGATCGCCGTTCCATGGCTAACAGACACCCTGCAGCGATCATGGGTGTCCACCTCCAGACACAGCCTTGCTCTCGTCTCATAGGTACTACGGCACTGTTTGCATCCCATCACATCTCATCACCTCCCAAGCAGCGCGGCAGATGCTGCTCGGCTCGCTTTGGATAGATTGCAAGTCCCCTACGTGGCAAGCCCATCCTCTTTGTGACTTGGGGATAGTACACGGCTTGGTGTCGTACTGCCATGGGCCAAGCCATCCAAAGGGCCTGTTACAGCATAGGCCAGGCCAGGCTGCTGACCGAGAATCGGGCACATCCATGCCATCGCCAGCTGCCGTTGGTTTTCGTAGCGACGGCGGTTGCATCGCGCCCGTTACGCAGAGGACTAGCTCGCTGCAAAAGAGGACAAAGAGGCCCAGCCTTGATCTCAGTCAATCTTGATCTCATTTCCGTCAAATCCCGGGGGGAGCGCCCGCTGCCCAGCGCTTGGGGTTACCTTTGGGCATCATGGCATATGCAGGCGCTGGAAAGGCTGTATCACCTGTGCTGAGCGTGCATGAATGTAATATAAATGTAAATGTAATGTAATGTAATGTATACAATATAATATACATGTACATGTGCATATCGTACCGGGCAAGTAAGCTATAAGCACATATGCACGGGTGCGCGTGTGTATCATGTGAATGGCCGTTTTGATGGCTTCCAAGCCTCATGCTGCGCAACCCCAAGGGGGGGGCGTGAGCACATGTGACGAGCCGAAAGCTCAGCGGCAGCAGGGGCCGAAGCTGAGGGCCATGTTTGATTATCCCTCTTCTTGGCCCTCGCGAGAAGCCGGAGAGGCATGTCGAGCCGTTATCCACCTGTATGCGACTGTGTCTGCCGGTAGAGCACGATTCATACCAGACCCTGATCGACCAAGTATGAGTAGGTAGACCAGGCACTTGGAAGTGTTACTTGGTGCACGCCCTTTGTTTTTGCGTGCTTTGCTGTA